ATGCACAATTTTGAAAAAGAAAAAATCCTTAAAAACAACCTTTTCCACTCAAATGTGAAATTCTATTATAGATATGTTGATGATATTTTGATTTTGTGGTCAGGTAACTTAGACTCATTAAATGACTTCTTGACTTATATTAATGACTTACATTCTAATATTAAATTCACATTAGAAATTGAAATAAACAAATCTATTAACTTCTTAGATCTTAAAATCTCACACAATAATAACAAGTTCAACTTTGACATCTATAGAAAGCCAACACATACAGGCACAGTAATAGACAATACCTCTAACCATCCAGCAACACATAAATTGGCTGCCTTTAATTGCTACTTAGAGAGGCTATTAAACGTTCCTCTGTCTACGGAAAACTTTAATAAGGAACTAAATATAATTAAAACTATTGCTATAGATCACAACTTTGAACTAGATATTATTGATAAAATGCTAACACATAAACAAAATAAAATTCAACAAAACTTAGTTTATATTAACAATCCTAATATAGTACATGAACTAACCACCAGTAAGAAATACATTTCTCTTACCTTTATTGGAAAAGCATCCTATAAAGTGGCAAGCTTACTTAAAGACCACTTTAAAGTATCTTTCAGAACCCCCTCCTCATTACATAAGTTATTTGTTCATAATAAAGATAAATTAGATCCCTTTGACTTATCTGGAATTTATAAATTAACTTGTAAATCTTGCCATTCTTTCTATGTGGGACGCACATTTCGAAATTTCAAGATCCGTTTAAAAGAACATTTGCGTTGTCTTAACCAAAATACAACAGGTTTTTCACATTTTGCCAACCACCTACTGGACTCAAATCACGACTTCGATTCAACTGAAGGTTTCGAAATCCTACATAGTTCCTACCATAGATTTACTCTTAATAGCTTCGAAAGCCTCGAGATATTGAGAAATTTAAAATTAAATCCTGTTGGTTGCTTAAATGCCCAGATAATGTCAGAAACTCCTCCTGTTTTCTCAACACTAATCTAAATTTATCGTTCTAACTTCCTTTTTAACCTCCCCCTTTATTTCTATTCACATATTTTCTTGCAAGGGGTACATTTCAGTAAGTAATTTTTTCCCACAAGAAACCAACGAGCATGTTTAAAGATTAGGTTAGATTGTGTGATATTCCATCCGTCATTTTCTTCTTTTCTTCTTTTATTCTTCAGTTGCTTCACAACAGTTAACCCAGTCATTTCTTCTTCTTTCTTCTTCCTACAACATCACATACACTTGGTGATTGGTTCATGGCCCAAATCTTATATAATAAATAATAAATATTTCTTCACTCATGGTTTACATCTTATTACCTATACCCTGTCATGGGTTTACCCAAGAATTTTTTTGTTAATACTTTCCACCACCTGTAGAGGCCTTAACTTGACAGGTCTCCTTTCAAAAATGTTAGTTTTTTGAAAAAACAACAAGGTTGTTTAAAATAAGCCTTATCTTTTAATCTGTTTAATGTATGTGATTTGTTTTGTATGGTCTTGAATATTTTAAATTTTTACTATTTCAATTGACTAATATTTGTTTTTTCAAATATTTTTAACCTTTTATTACTTGTAAACTTTGTTCATTTTACAATTTATTTCACCCCACATTTGATGAAACTTGTTTTGTAGTATTCCCTAGTGGATGGAGAGTATGGTGAGTTTTCTCTTTTTTACTATTTTATATATCGTTAGCTCCAAGTTAACACACCTTACACCACATATTCTCCTTTCCACTAGGCGAGCCTGAAGATGAAGTGATGACACTTCGAAACCGGTCGCACTCAATGTTTTGTTAAATAATTAAACATTGACTTTCCTTGTGAGATATAAAGGACTTTTTCTCACCCTTCACCTTAACATTAATAAATATACTCTTCTTGATGCTTTTCCTCTACAAAATATCGAGAAGCTCGTTACAGATGTCGCAAATTATGAGGTATTTAGTACCATTGATTTAAAAAGTGCTTACCACCAGATAGCTATCCAAGAGCACAAGAAACCCTTTACAGTTTTTAAGGCTTGTGGTAAACTTTCTCAATCTTGTCAAATACCCTTTGGAGTTACCAATGGTGTATCTTGTTTCCAACGGGTAATGGATGAAATCATTACGAAAGAAAAATTAAAAGGAGTTTATGCGTACCTTGATGACGTTACTGTTTGTGGAGAGAATCAAGTTTTACATGACAAAAATTTGAAAAATTTTATGGACGTTGTTCAAAGATATGGGCTAACACTCAATGAAAATAAATGCCAATTTTCCAAAAGGATCATTAATTTCTTAGGGTACTTAATTGAAAAGAAAACACTTGGACCAGACCCGGAACATTTAAAACCATTGCTAAATATTAGTCCACCAACTGATAAAGCAACATTACGCCGAGTGATAGGTATGTTTGCACACTATTCGAAATGGATACCCAAATTTTTACATAAAATTCATAGCCTTACTAATTGTGTCACCTTTCCTTTACCTGCCAATGTGCTTCAAGATTTTGAAAATTTAAAGAGTGATATTGCCAAGTCATTCCTTGTTACAATTGATAAGACCGAGGTACTAATAGTAGAGACAGATGCTTCCGAATATGCAATTGTGGCTACATTAAGCCAAATTGGAAGACCAACTGCATTTTTCACAAGAACACTTTCGGATTCTGAGCAGAGACACTCGGCAGTTAAAAAGGAAGCCTATGCAATAGTGGTGGCACTAAGAAAAAGGAAACATTTTTTGATAGGTCGTCATTTCAAGCTAATTACAGATCAGGAATCTGTATCATTTATGTTTGATAAGCACTCAAGTAAAATTAAAAACGAAAAGATTATGCAATGGCGCTTAGATTTATCATGCTATAGTTATGACATCATATATCGTCCAGGAAGGGAGAATATCGTGAGTGACTACTTCTCTCGAGTCTGTGGGGCCAGCAATAATAACAAGTTATTTGATATTCATCAATCTCTATGTCACCCGGAAATCACTCGAATGTATCACTTGGTACGGTCTCGAAACCTGCCGTATTCTCTAGAGGACATTAAACAAATAACTAAAGACTGTCCAGTTTATGCTGAGATTAAGCCGCGTTTTTACAAAAACCCTAATGCCCATCTTATTAAAGCTACGAGTGCCTTTGAACGATTAAACATTGACTTTAAAGGACCTTTATCTACAAACACTGCCAATAGATATATTCTTACTATTGTTAACGAGTATTCCCGATTTCCGTTTGCTTTCCCTTGCGCAAATATACATTCTTCTACTGTGAACCACTGTCTAAGCACTTTATTCCTTGTATTTGGGTTGCCATCATATATTCATTCGGACAAAGGAACTTCCTTTATTTCTAAAGTAACTTTCCGTCATTCTCATAATATATCGACGAGTAGAACTACCCCGTATAATCCAGAAGGCAATGGGCAGGTTAAACGATATAATGGTATAGTTTGGAAAATTATTAATTTAGCACTAAAAACCAGAAAACTACAACCTACCCAGTGAGAATTGGTGTTACCTGATGCTTTACACTCAATTCGATCTCTGTTATGCACCTCTATGAATTGTACACCACATGAACGGATGTTCATACACGATCGTAGAGCTTCCAACGGAATTTCCCTCCCAACTTGGTTATCATCATCTAACATAGTTTTAATGAGGAAAATTGTTCGTCAGAGTAAATATGAACCACTAGCAGAGGAGGTGGAAATGATCGAAACAAATCCTGACTATGCACTAGTACGGAACAGTACAGGAAAAGAATCTAGAGTCTCCATAAAACAGTTAGCTCCTGGAGGCGATAGAAGTTTGCTTCTCGACAAAGAAGGCAACAATGAAAACATTCCAAATCTTGACACTGTTGATGACACAATCCATGACACAATACCTCAAAATTCCGAAAATGAAGATGATCGAAATAATGATAATGAAAATATACTTAGAAGATCATCTAGAGTTCGTCGACCACCCCACTATTTCAGAGACTACACTCTGAAATAAAACTTGGGGAGAATGTCGTATATTTTATCTAGTTAGTTTGTATTCTTTTATTATCACATTGTATATTTGTTTATTTGTCAGTATATGCTACTTTGGCACTTTGTATTTGGCAAACATTTCGATAAATAAAGCCTATAGTTTGCAAAGGTTTATTTTATTACAGAATAATACATGATGTTAGGTTTATTTTAAAGTACAAACCGTACAAAATCTATAAATTTTAATACTGTCCGTTGTTCGTTCACCGTCATCGCAACTGTTTATATGAAGCATAGAAACGTATGATTTCTAATCAAACGTTTGATGACGGTGAATACGGCCTATGAAAGAACATGCAAACATAAATATGTCACTATTGTTTCGTTTTTATTTATTTATTTATTAAGTATACAGTTTTTGAGTATATTGATACATTTTCTCAGTAATTTTACTTTAATAAGTATACAAATTTACCTTAGTACTGAGACTATAAAGTTATAATACGGGATTCAAGATTAAAAAGAGTTTTTAGTGATGCCGGCGATATTATTCCGCAATCACTTAAAACAAAACCAGTGCAGTCTTATACTCTCCATTTAGTTAAAGAAATTTTTAAAAATGTAGGAGAATAATACATCAATCTTTCAATTTAAAACCGTGAAGAATTATTTATTTTATTGTAAATTGAAAATATATTATATTAGGGCTACCTATTTATAAAAATGATTGACATTGAAGAGAATAGTGATTTTTTATCAGAAAAAAGTGCTGTTTATCTGTAGTTCAAAAATTGTTCCAGCTGAACCTGCTCACAATTTCAGATTGCTACCTATGCATAACTTTGACCTGCGCATTAAGTTGTTCGTGTACGATTCAGGAAGGGTACATAGACACTCAATCATTCAACAGCGCCCGCACTATATCTTTTAATATGAAAAAAACTATATAAATATTTTTTTATTAGCATATTTATCCAGGTTGTCAGTCTACAATTCATAAAGTAATTAAACAGTAAAATTAAAAGTACCATCATGGCTGCTTTTGTATTACCAGAGTTGTACAAAGAAAGTTCCGATATCACTTACGTCGGTGCTCAATATATGTTAGAAAAATATAAAAATCTGATTAAATGGAAAGAAGACGCATCGATTTTCGAATTTGGCGTTGGTGATGGCAGCCATTCTAGACAACTTCTGTGGCCATTATTTCCTAGAAAATATAAAGAATTTATAGCTACTGATCTATCAAAAACGATGGTCGATTTTGCCAAAAATAATCAATCGGCTTCAAGAGCAAAAATTTGTAATTTCGATATTACTTGCGAAAATGTCCCATACGATTATAGATCTAGATTTGATAACATTTTCAGCATATTTACTATGATGTTGGTGAGAAATCCGGAGTAAGTACCATGGACTTTTAAATATAACATTCATAACATCGTTAACATTGACATCATAACATTCTCATTATTATTTTCCTATTTTTTTTTAAGACAGGCTTTCAAAAATATTCACACAATGTTAAAATCAAATGGGCAAACATTCAATATATTTCCATTAACCCTTCCAACCGACGACATCTATATGAAACTTTCCCATCATGCAAAATGGGGAAAATATGATCACAAAGTAATGGTTACGCCTTATAGTTCTCAATCACATCCACAAGAATGTTATGAAAAAGCTCTAAGGGATGCAGGATTCAGGAACTATCATTATATGATCCAAAATTTTTGCTACATGTTTAAGAATGAAAAAGAATGGAAAGGTAAGAATACAACTTTCGGTATATAGATATTAGTGCTAATTGTCGGCATTTTTAAATGAATACAATTATTATTTTTAAAAATATAACATGAATAACATTATGATAATCTAAAGCATTGTTTAAGCAAAGAAAATTTGAATGATGTAATTAATACGGCTGAACCACAAAAAGCATACGATTTATTTTTTAATAAGCTAAATCAACAAATTCAAAAATGTATCAAATCTACAATTAAAACAAAAAATATAGTTAAACTAAAACCATGGATAACAACATGTTTAGTACTTTCAATAAAAAAAGAGACACTCTAAAAAAAACTAACAAAAAAATACACTCTAGAACTTGAAAACCAGTATAAAAATTACAGAAACAAACTTCATTCCTTAATAAGAAAAACAAAAAATGACTATTATCAAAATAAAATTACACAAGCAGGAAACGATTATAAAAAAATATGGAAAATCATTAATGACATAACAGGTAGTACAAAAAAAAAACTAAGCAAATTAAAAACATATCTATAAAATCAGAAAATAATGATAATATAAACAATAAAAAAGAAAAAGCTGAAGAGTTTAATATTTTTTTACAAATTTAGGTGAAAATATGGCAAATATAGTTCAAAATAATATATTCTTTAAACCCGTAACAAAAAATAACTATTTTAATAAGCAAATTAAAAAATAGCTCCGCACATGGAGCAACTCAATAAAAAATATAAATGAATATATTATTCTTCCTGTAACGCATATCCTTAATATTTGCTTTCAGTCAGGAAAAATTCCAAGTCAATGGAAGGAATCAATTGTCACACCTGTATACAAATCCGGAGACCCTAGGAGCTTACAAATTATAGGCCAATTTCTGTTATCAACAACTTCGCTAAAATTTTTGAAAATGCAATAAAAAGTAGATTAATTAATTTTTTTCATAATTATAATGTTATTACAGATTGTCAATACGGTTTTATACAAAACTTAAGCACTGAAAATACGGTAGTTGATTTTTTGGAAAAGACGGTTAGCGCAGAAGATGAATCATTAAAATGTGCTGCAGTATTTCTTGATTTGGCCAAAGTATTTGATACCGTTTCCCATAACATTTTACTTCACAAACTTAGCATTAAGGATCCTGAGGGATTATTTATCTAACAGAACCCAGAGCGTAAAAATAGGCAACGTCGGAAGTTCTAAATCAGTAGTAAAGATGGGGGTCTCACATGGAACAGTATTGGGCCCAATTCTGTTTCTGGTCTACATGAACAACATTACACAAATTAATAACTTATCTGGGAATATCATATGCTATGCGAATGATACGGTAAATATTTTCGCTGGAAAAGAATTGAAAGAGGTTAAACTCACTGGAGAAACGGCCTTGAGAAAGATAAGTTTATGGTTAAATAACAATCTAGTAACTTTAAATGTTTTGAAAACAAAATGCATTAGTTTTAGTTCAACCATCGTTAACCAACCTATCAGCTTTTGTATAAAATTGCATAGTAGTGGCTGTCAAAAAAAAACGATTGTAACTGCCCCTTGATAGAAAAAGTTTCTCAAATTAAATACCTAGGTGTAATACTTGATCAATACATACGTTGGTCTGAACATATTGTCTATGTTAGTAATAGACTGAGAGCCCTAATGCACAAATTTTATGTTCTCCGGGATGTTCTTTCATAGAAAAATATAATGATACTTTATAACTCCCTGGTGAAATCCATATTAAGGTATTGCATAGTAGCATGGGGGTGAAGCATTTAACACCACTATTTTAAAAATTAAAAAAGATACTATTTTCTACAAATAAATTGTACGATGAATCGAACATACTAAACGTCAAATTACTTTTTTCTTATCAATGTATAATGAGAATATATATACCAATGCTGAAAATTTTACTCAAAAAAATACTCGCTTAACATGCTCAGTTGCTAATATGGGCTTTGATCGCGACGACCGAATCAAGAATTTCCTTAACGTGCCGTAACGAAAAAAAAACCTAACACCCCCTACTCCTACCGGCACAGCGGTGCGGCGTTAAACAATATTAACTTCTCATTTACTCAATAAAAGAAATCGAAAAATCGAAAAATCGAAAAATCGAAAAATCGAAAAATCGAAAAATCGAAAAATCGAAAAATCGAAAAATCGAAAAATCAAAAAATCGAAAAATCGAAAAATCGAAAAATCGAAAAATCGAAAAATCGAAAAATCGAAAAATCGAAAAATCGAAAAATCGAAAAATCGAAAAATCGAAAAATCGAAAAATCGAAAAATCGAAAAATCGAAAAATCGAAAAATCGAAAAATCGAAAAATCGAAAAATCGAAAAATCGAAAAATCGAAAAATCGAAAAATCGAAAAATCGAAAAATCGAAAAATCGAAAAATCGAAAAATCGAAAAATCGAAAAATCGAAAAATCGAAAAATCGAAAAATCGAAAAATCGAAAAATCGAAAAATCGAAAAATCGAAAAATCGAAAAATCGAAAAATCGAAAAATCGAAAAATCGAAAAATCGAAAAATCGAAAAATCGAAAAATCGAAAAATCGAAAAATCGAAAAATCGAAAAATCGAAAAATCGAAAAATCGAAAAATCGAAAAATCGAAAAATCGAAAAATCGAAAAATCGAAAAATCGAAAAATCGAAAAATCGAAAAATCGAAAAATCGAAAAATCGAAAAATCGAAAAATCGAAAAATCGAAAAATCGAAAAATCGAAAAATCGAAAAATCGAAAAATCGAAAAATCGAAAAATCGAAAAATCGAAAAATCGAAAAATCGAAAAATCGAAAAATCGAAAAATCGAAAAATCGAAAAATCGAAAAATCGAAAAATCGAAAAATCGAAAAATCGAAAAATCGAAAAATCGAAAAATCGAAAAATCGAAAAATCGAAAAATAGAAAAATCGAAAAATCGAAAAATCGAAAAATCGAAAAATCGAAAAATCGAAAAATCGAAAAATCGAAAAATCGAAAAATCGAAAAATCGAAAAATCGAAAAATCGAAAAATCGAAAAATCGAAAAATCGAAAAATCGAAAAATCGAAAAATCGAAAAATCGAAAAATCGAAAAATCGAAAAATCGAAAAATCGAAAAATCGAAAAATCGAAAAATCGAAAAATCGAAAAATCGAAAAATCGAAAAATCGAAAAATCGAAAAATCGAAAAATCGAAAAATCGAAAAATCGAAAAATCGAAAAATCGAAAAATCGAAAAATCGAAAAATCGAAAAATCGAAAAATCGAAAAATCGAAAAATCGAAAAATCGAAAAATCGAAAAATCGAAAAATCGAAAAATCGAAAAATCGAAAAATCGAAAAATCGAAAAATCGAAAAATCGAAAAATCGAAAAATCGAAAAATCGAAAAATCGAAAAATCGAAAAATCGAAAAATCGAAAAATCGAAAAATCGAAAAATCGAAAAATCGAAAAATCGAAAAATCGAAAAATCGAAAAATCGAAAAATCGAAAAATCGAAAAATCGAAAAATCGAAAAATCGAAAAATCGAAAAATCGAAAAATCGAAAAATCGAAAAATCGAAAAATCGAAAAATCGAAAAATCGAAAAATCGAAAAATCGAAAAAATCGAAAAATCGAAAAATCGAAAAATCGAAAAATCGAAAAATCGAAAAATCGAAAAATCGAAAAATCGAAAAATCGAAAAATCGAAAAATCGAAAAATCGAAAAATCGAAAAATCGAAAAATCGAAAAATCGAAAAATCGAAAAATCGAAAAATCGAAAAATCGAAAAATCGAAAAATCGAAAAATCGAAAAATCGAAAAATCGAAAAATCGAAAAATCGAAAAATCGAAAAATCGAAAAATCGAAAAATCGAAAAATCGAAAAATCGAAAAATCGAAAAATCGAAAAATCGAAAAATCGAAAAATCGAAAAATCGAAAAATCGAAAAATCGAAAAATCGAAAAATCGAAAAATCGAAAAATCGAAAAATCGAAAAATCGAAAAATCGAAAAATCGAAAAATCGAAAAATCGAAAAATCGAAAAATCGAAAAATCGAAAAATCGAAAAATCGAAAAATCGAAAAATCGAAAAATCGAAAAATCGAAAAATCGAAAAATCGAAAAATCGAAAAATCGAAAAATCGAAAAATCGAAAAATCGAAAAATCGAAAAATCGAAAAATCGAAAAATCGAAAAATCGAAAAAATCGAAAAATCGAAAAATCGAAAAATCGAAAAATCGAAAAATCGAAAAATCGAAAAATCGAAAAATCGAAAAATCGAAAAATCGAAAAATCGAAAAATCGAAAAATCGAAAAATCGAAAAATCGAAAAATCGAAAAATCGAAAAATCGAAAAATCGAAAAATCGAAAAATCGAAAAATCGAAAAATCGAAAAATCGAAAAATCGAAAAATCGAAAAATCGAAAAATCGAAAAATCGAAAAATCGAAAAATCGAAAAATCGAAAAATCGAAAAATCGAAAAATCGAAAAATCGAAAAATCGAAAAATCGAAAAATCGAAAAATCGAAAAATCGAAAAATCGAAAAATCGAAAAATCGAAAAATCGAAAAATCGAAAAATCGAAAAATCAAAAAATCGAAAAATCGAAAAATCGAAAAATCGAAAAATCGAAAAATCGAAAAATCGAAAAATCGAAAAATCGAAAAATCGAAAAATCGAAAAATCGAAAAATCGAAAAATCGAAAAATCGAAAAATCGAAAAATCGAAAAATCGAAAAATCGAAAAATCGAAAAATCGAAAAATCGAAAAATCGAAAAATCGAAAAATCGAAAAATCGAAAAATCGAAAAATCGAAAAATCGAAAAATCGAAAAATCGAAAAAAAAATTCCGTAACGAAAATGAATCTTACATACCACAGTGGTGCGGCGTTGAAAGCCGTGCGTCATCTAACGTCGGCAGACTTCGGCACCGTGTTTGTATGCGTACGACTATACGTCTAGTCGTACGCGTGTAGACTAGCTGCTAACTGCTCATAACTGATTCTATCTCTTTGTAAATGAATAAT